CATTCCTGCATCCTGTTAGGCATGCACAGCTCTGCCTTCCCGCGTACCTGTGGGAGGACTCCTGCTACCTTGCATGACTCCAGCAACGGGGCTTTGGCTTTGTTTTGGGGAAAGCTTGTTTGTTTTTGTCTGAATTTCCCCCTCACGTGGGCCGAGGACATGAGGAGTTTGTTTAAACGCAGAAAGGCTGGCGCTGTCTTCCGTTCTCCTGTAAGCCTAGTGAGAGACAGTCACTTTCTCGGGGGTGAGAGGCCAGACAGAGTCTTTAAGAAACTTGTTTTCCTCCCCAAACACTCCCAGGCACATTGTAGCCCCGCTGTCAGGTGCAAAGGGCGAGGGGAACTTTCTGCAGCTCTGGCTGCTAAAACCACGCAGCGATGCAGTTACTAATGCAAATAAAGCCTGGGTCTGGGTCTCCTTTCCACACCAGCCTCTTCCAGCTGTGGAGCACACCCTGTTCTCCAACCCTGAGTCCATCTTCTCGCCTGCCCTGGCAGCGTGGCCAGCCACGGCGGGTTCCAACCATGGGGCTGGCGACTGGTGGCTCCCCCTCCACCGGCTCAGGGGAGGGCTCCGTGTCTGGTGAGTGACGCGCAGCTCTGGGTTGAAAAATGAGCTGCTGCCTGTGCATCCCTGGAGCATGACCCTGCGAGAGGCACGTGCCAGCTGTCGCTGTGCTGCTGCACCTCCCCTGCCCACCCCGTCTACCAGAACACACGCCCACGCCTTCCATGCCTGTGCCCGCCTGGCTGAGCACACACCCCTCCTGCCCCTACCCCCCGCTGGCATTGCTGGTGGGCTCAGGTCAAGAGTAGCTGGAGCACCCAGTGAGATGGGGCAAGTACTCTGGCCTTGTTTGAGCTGCCCTCGTTCCCTACAGCACACGTGTAGCTTAGTTCCTCGTGTTCAGCAGTGACCTTTGCACGCCAGAGGGGCCTGTTCCCTGATGCAGCTGCCTAATGGAGTAACGTAACCAGCTCAGCAGGCCTCCCGGGCAGCTCAGGCTCCAAATCGTCACACAGCAGCTATCGATTGTCTATGGTGGCCTGGCCACACCAAGGCTTTGACCCCTAACACTTGTGAGCTGACTGACACTTCCGTTCTGGTGTAGGCACTAATCTTCCTTGCACTGACTGGGCAGAAACACACTCTGGCTCGCTGCCACTCCGTCACACGCTCCAGCGCGTGCTGCTGCTCTCCCCGGCTCCCGGAAAGTCCACGCTGACCTGAATATGTCCAGACTCTCCCCACGTAACCAAGGTTAGATTCCAAAGCGTGAGCCGGGGCGGCTGTTCCAACACCCGTGCCGGTTGATGAGGCCAGTAATGTGCATTGAGATTGAAATGTTTAAAGTGTCTAGCTCGAATAAAGTGATTGACCAGATCTCCCTGCTCGCGGCTCGTTTTTCAGGCTCAAGCTAAGTTTGAAGTGGACTTTAGTACGTGCGTTAGTCACAACCCTGGGGTCCATCCAGCTTCCAAGCAAAGCCGGGACATCTCTGGGCTACACGGGGGCCCCCAGTGTTCTCGGCCTCGGAAGGTTCTCAGCGTTCAGGTTGTGGTGGAGACTTAGCAGAAGTGAGGCAACCCCCATGTAAGTCGGTTTAACAAGGTGAACCCACCAAGACGAGGGCTGCTGTCAAGTACCAGTTAGTACTCCTGCCTCCAATCCGAACGGGCCAGCCACGGGCGCTCAAGGGAGATCTGGGCGTGCGGTCCGTCCCTGGGGCCAGTGAGGCGCACTCGGCTGTGCTGAGGGCCATGGGGTGCAGGGATTGCGAGCAGCACTGTGACTCCTCAGTGCATGTGCAGCCATAGTTCATGTACCACTGCCTGGGGGTTCACTCCCCATCCCTTGCTCCCCTGGTTCTGTGGGTCTGCCCCTGGGAAGGGTGGCAGCAAACCCAGCCAGCAATCTTGGGCCAAAGCAACAGCACAGAGGTGAAGGCTGGAGGAACTAAAGGAAGCACTGTGGGGCCGGTGAATCCCTGAATATTTGGGCCTTATAGGGCTCTGTCCTCCACCTCCTGCTTGGATCTGTGGGGACCCCACACCTGTGGCTGGCTCTTAGGCTACATGCTGAAAGTCAGAGCCAGCCTGGATAGCAGGTCCCTCTTCGGACCTGCCAGTAGCAGTGAGGCTGAGATTTCATTTTCCATCTTGCCCCACAGCCCTGCCCTCAGGTGCTTTGCTGCAGGTGCGGCCTGGCTTAATTAATAGAATCATAGCACACTAGGACTGGAAGGGACCTCGAGAGTCACGGAGTCCAGGCCCCTGCCCCCATGGCAGGACCAAATACTGTCTAGACCATCCCTGATAGACATTTAGCCAACCTGCTCTTAAATATTTCCAGAGATGGGGATTCCACAACCTCCCTGGGCAATTTATTCCAGTGTTTGACTACCCTGACAGGTAGGAAAAAGTTCCTAATGTCCAACCTCCCTTGCTGCAGTTTAAGCCTATTGCTGCTTGTTCTATCCTCAGAGGCCAAGATGAACAAGTTTTCTCCTGCCTCCTTATGACACCCTTTTAGATACCTGAAAATGGCTCTCATGTCCCCCCTCAATCATCTCTTCTAAACTAAACAAACCCAATTCCTTCAGTCTTCCCTCATAGCTCATGTTCTCTAGACCTTTCATCATTCTCATTGCTCTTCTCTGGACCCTCTCTAATTTCTCCACATCCTTCTTGAAATGTGGTGCCCAGAACTGGACACAATACGCCAATTGAGGCCTAACCAGGGCAGAGTAGAGCGGAAGAATGACTTCTCGTGTCTTCCTCACAACACACCTGTTAATGCATCCTAGAATCATGTTTGCTTGTTTTGCAACAGTATCACACTGCTGACTCATATTCAACTTGTGGTCCATTATAACCCCTAGATCCCTTTCTGCCATGCTCCTTCCTAGACAGTCGCTTCCCATTCTGTGTGTGTGAAACTGATTGTTCCTTCCTAAGTGGAGCATTTTGCATTTGTCTTTATTAAACTTCATTCTGTTTACCTCAGCCCATTTCTCCAATTTGTCCAGATCGTTTTGAATGATGACCCTATCCTCCAGAGCAGTCGCAACCCCTCCCAGCTTGGTATCATCTGCAAACTTAATAAGCGTACTTTCTATGCCAATATCTAAATCGTTGAAGATATTGAACAGAGCCAGTCCCAAAACAGACTCCTGAGGAACCCCACTTGTTATACCTTTCCAATTAACCCCACACTGAATTCCCAGCAGGCCAGGGCTACTGACCTCACTCGTGTGTTGGCTCCAGCATTCATTCAACAGGCCACTGGCAGGCCAGGAGGGGGGGGGGAGCCCGGCCTGG